CTTTCATTGAGTTTATGTCCCCCCGTCCCCTCTGCAGGTCCCCCACCCCCGTTCTGGTTCATTCACAGCGCAGTGCCGAGCGGGATGACTCATCCTACGGTGAGACAGACGTGAACTGCTCTGAGCTCATCACAGCTTTCTTATCTATCCATCCTCTCTTGTCCTTCCCAGTGGTCTCCCTCATCCTCTGGCTACCACCCCACCTCCTCCGTCTACGAGGCAGCGATCCGTGGCTCGTCTCCGTCACATGCCGACATTGATGGACAAGAGGGGTAAGTGGCTGCGACAGAGGAGCACATGTTATGTATGCAGATGACAGCCACCTCCCGTCACCTCGCTGTAGCTGCACACATGGCTGAACTTCATCGTTCAGAATCAGAGAAGTTCTGCTCGCTTCACAGTTAATCTGTTTTCTGGGTTTGACTCAGAGACAAACCGGTGTGGACAGAATAAAAACCCATGTGTAGGTCCCAGTCCTCCTTACAAATATGACTATAGGGCATTTTTACACAAGACATGAAAGAATAATGTCTTTATTGGTCCTGAAACTCCTACATAAACCTCATTAATGCTTCTTTGCTGAGGTAGAACTCTGAAGAAGGTGAGAAGTTACGCCTAACACCCAATATGTCTTACAGGGCTGCTGCATTTCTTTATAATTTATATACAGCTGAAAAAAAGAATTAACATTTATTTATTGTCATGAAGAACTTGTTTTTCTCTTGTTTTTAAGTGGCTTCGTAGCTTTTTATTTTTTATTTTTTTTTTGTTGCTGTTTTTAATAAAATTGTAGGGAGACTTTTAAGACGAATACTCTTGTTTGCCTGTTGGTTTGTCCTAGAGAGACTGAATGTCCTCTTTTCTCCTGACATGTCCACTTTTTCTTTTCATTAAATTATTAACTAAAACGTCAGAGTTTTTAAAGTATTTCAGGGGACTAATATATGAACTGACTGATGGCGATTGGTTGGTCTGAGCAAATGAAGGAGGTTCTGTTAGCACGGTTTTGATTGTTAGCACATAAAGCAGATCAGGGTAACCTTCGGGTTGTAGTTTTCACGGGTTGTAGTTCTTTGTAGGAAACACGAAAAACTGTAACTCATATTTGGTTCAATAAATAATCTCAGACTGCACTACATAAAAAAACAAAATGACTTAATTTCCTCACATGTGATCCAAACATAACAGAAAACTCAGAAAAGACGAATTTCAGGTTGGATTTTTGGTTCATAACAAGCTACTGACTACTATCTAACTAGTAACCATACAAGTTATCTAGATAAACTACCCTAAGTAACTTGGCAGGCTGGTTATAACATTAGGAGCTAACGACTAACCTAGCTAGTTGCCTAGCTTAGTAACCTAGCTAGTTCAGCCATGACCGTTACTCCTCATTTCTTTGGTTTCATCTGAAAATATCCAATATAACTCCATCTAACAGACAATAATAATTGTTTATTACTACAAAGACGGTTCCAAAGAAACATCAGCTTACAACTTGTCACAGCTTATGAAAGCTGATGCATCTGCCAGGTCATGTTTATCAGCTCTACTGAATATTTTTGAGGTGTAATCAATCTGCTGAGGATCATTTTTTAGGCCTTATTTTCTCCATATTTCTTATATTTGTTTAAAAACATGATGTCACGGCCTATTTGGCGTGAGTGAAAAGCAGAAAAATCCAAAGACACATTCAAGATCATTTGAAAAGAACGATAAATGATGAAAACATGACACACCTGTGCACCAACATGTCCACTACCTCTCCACCTGTGTGTGCAGCTCTTTTAATGGAAGTCTGCTCCGGTGCTGCACATAAAAGCTAATATTAGAGCATTACTCCATATCATGTGAATCCTATTCTCTTTAATCTGTAATCCCTCCTCATACTATCAGCCCATTTGCACATCTTCTCTTCCAGCCTCAGCGTTTCCACGGCATGGGTTTAAAAAAGGAAAAATAAAAATACTCACAAAATGGATTGCCTTTATTTCTAATCTTATCTGAATGGATTTCTTTGAATGTAGATTTGAGATATATGCAGGAGAGCTTTACAGTGCAATTGCATGTGTGAGTGTACACACCAGTGGTGCATAAATTGCACATATAAAATGCACACTTACTTTTTCTCTGGTTGTTGATAATTTTGAAAACGTGGCTCACAACAGCAGGAATGTAGAAAACATGAAGCATCATTGTTCATGTATGTGGAGATAGGAAGAGGTGAGCTCCAAGCTTCAACACACCGTGATTATCTCCAGTTTCAATAAACTTAAGTGCAGGAATGAACGCAGCTCTGCAGGAGAATTATTCATTTTTTTTAACAGTAAAAGACTAATAAAATTGGCCCTTTCCACCTGTGGATGCTCCACCAGAGGGTGGTAGACAGAAGACTGGAAACGGCAGTTTTTATGGCCCTGCTGACACTAGCCGTTAGCTCATCAATCAGAAATAAACATTGGTATCTTTAAACTGAGGTTTTTCAAAAAGCTACAAGCAAAAAATTTAATTTTCTTTGGAAAACCTGGAATTTTCCTTTGATACCTTCAAAATTGACAGATTTTTTCATTTTTGTCACAGACGGAAAAAAACAAAGGAGATATCCGTCCAGGATGTGTTTTTACATTTTTTAATATTCTTTTCTTTATTAATCAGTCACACTGTTCATCTCTGGGCAGGCCGACGGGAATAAATAGTAAATGTCCAAAACTCTGAAACACTGCAAACGGGACGTCTGAAACAAAAAGATCAAGGTGCAGCAAAACAAAAGAGCCATAAACACAGGGAGCCCACAAGGGTCCAATAATGAAGATGTGACTAAAGAACACCGGGTACTAAATATACGGAGGGACATGATGACTAAGGGGGTGCAGGTGTGAAAACAGGAGAAGCAGCACCAGGTGTGAGAGGAGGCAGATCCCACACAAAAACCCGACATAAACAGAACCGATAAGAGAACATGTGGAACGCAGAGTCATGAGAGTAAAAACACCTGAGACAGACGAAGACAAAACACTCCAAACCAGTAGACTCCATCTAATCCAATCTGGTTCCAGTTCAACCACATGTTGTGCATGAAATGTCCTCTCTGGTCCGTAAACCTTCGTCACATCTGTAATCACACAACCCAGTGGGTTCCTCGCATCATTATCTGTTTAATAGACTTCAGCAGATTACGGCTTTAAATCCGTGTGTGTGTGTGTCTGTGTGTGTTGATGAAAGTGAGCTGAAGAGCGTTTCTCCCTAAACATCTGGCCTTGGATCACATAACTGATCACAGAGAAATGCTGGGGATGTGTAAATGTCATCTCAGTTCCTACAAAATAAAAGCCTTGGATTTACAACTCGTGGACTATTTGTCTAAATGGGATTATTTCTTTAAATGTGATTGACTCAAAGTTGAACATTCTTATTCAACTGTGAGAATTGCAATGAAATTTTTTTAATAAAATGTGACAAATACCTTTTAATGTTCAATCATTTAGGTTTCCTTTTTGTTAATCATCCTGAGTCAGTTTTCACATTTTTCATACTTTTTTGATTTATCATGTGACTTGTTTAGCTTTAATTAACTTATTTAGATAAGTCTGGCTTTTCATTTCTTTAAAGCCTCCATGAGTAATAAATTACAGATTTCCTTTGAGAAATCCCCTAGAAGTGTTTCTTTACTTAGACACAGCTCTAGAGTGAAACAACCAAGGAGTATCCGTGGTGTGGTGACACCATAGACTGTAATGACACTGAAGGGTTTTTATTTAAAACGTATGCTGTTGCGCCCTCTGTTGGCTGCGTAATGAAGCTGCAGTGTTTAAACCTTGCACCCAGGGGGATATTTGCACAAAAAGTTTCTTTTAAGTTTCTGAATAATAACAAAACACTAAAAAGCAAAGGGATTATGCAACTGTAGTGATTTATTTCATGCTAAAGATCAAACAATAATTAAAAAAACAAAAATCATAAATATAACAAAGCAGTCAGCAGGAAGAAGAGACATGAAAATACATAATTCAGTATGGAGTGGAGAGATTATCTCAGTGTCAGATAACAAATTATCCTCAGATTTACAGATAGGTGAATACATTCGTGTCTTTTAATCCACAACAGAATCATGGAGATGTTCAGGATCTGCAGCAGGAGTTGAGATGTTTGGGCTTCATGCGATCCCTGATCGGAACACTTGCTCACATACAGGAGTATAAACCACAGGAGCCAACGTCCCATCACGTTTAGAAACTCAACTTGTTTACAAAACTTTCAGAATAAAAAAGCAGCTGATTGTTACTGGAGTTCATCCCCTCATTGCCTGTTAGGGTTAAGACAGCTCGGAGAACTTTTTACAGTCAGTACGCACATTTAGACCAGTCACATGATTTTATTTAGATTTATTTGTAGGACTTAAGAGATTCTGGGAACAAGGCCCAGGTTTGTCAGAAAAAAAGTGCTGAAAACATCCTCTGATATCCTGTACCACAGAAAATACACACTTTGGTTTAAATCCACACACGCACACACACACACACACACAGCTGTACAAAAAAACCACATTTATAGTTCAGTAGTCATCACATCTGGAGACTTAAAATCCACCAACAACGTCCCAATCGTTCAGGAAGCATACCATTGGCTAACAGCTACTAGCTGTTAGCCATTAGCTGTTTGCAATTATCCATAAGCATACCCTTATAAAGAACAGCGTTCAGTAAAGTCAGTAAATTCCAACTTTAACTTGGTTTATTTGGGGATAATGTTTAAAACTGATAGATAACCCACTTTTCTGAAGTGAGTTTCTTTGGATTTTATGGCATTAAAGACCGCAGCAACCTGCTTTAGCCTTGGTGGTTCGGTTTAGCCCCCACACTCAAGGCAACACTGTAATTTATCATTTTTACACAGAAACACACTTTAATAAAGGTTATCTACTTTGTTTTAACCCATATTAGTCGACTGAAAATCAAACCAAACTATGTAGGTTTTAGGATTCCCCCCCCCCCCCCCCCCCCCCCCCCACCGCCTCCAGCTGAGGAGATAAATCCCAACATCTGGCCAAACATCAGCTTTATACAGCAACACGCAGCTCATTAAAAAGAACCAACCAAGCAGAGGAGACATGCAACAATTAGCTGAATCAGTCAAGTCTTAGGAAAACACCAGTTATTGTTTCTACAAAGATCCAAGTCATCCAGGGCACCTGGTGGACATTTTTACTGTGAAGTATCTCGATTTATTCCTTATATTAGCCTTTAAGCAGCTCCTGAGCTGCAACTGAATCTGACCCTTTCACTCTGGATTCTAAAAAGTGCCGATAAGCAAAACGTCTCTAAGAACAAAAATAACACTGAAAAAAAGTTTTAAGAATGAAGAATAACTAAACTATTAACTTATAGGTATTATTGTGTTTATCGCTGAGAACTATAAAAATCAAATTTACCATCCACAAGTGTTTAATTTTGATTTGAATGATAATTTTCTATACTTTGTGTGGAAAAAAAAAACATACATAAATTATACTGTCTTGTTTCAGTAGGAAGTGTTGCATAAACTCTTGTCCATTTCGGAGAAAAGTATAAATCCTTTTTCAGAATATTTCTGCATCAACGAAGTTTGCATTATGTAATAATCATGATTCTGCATCTCTGAAATGTGCGCAACCTTAAAAAGTACCAACATCTCATACACTACAGTAACTGTTTGCTCAGGTGTACTCCCACTTTTACCTCTAGCTTCTAACTATGAGTTTGATTTATAACTGGCTTATTTAGACTTAAATTGCATGTTTTCTTAATTATTTTTTCATCCATTTACATAATAAAAAAACGTTCAAAAATGGTTAACTTCCCATTTTGGGGGCTTGTCCGGGATCTGAGAGATTTAAATGGTCTTTTCTCTTTTTGTGTCCTAATTACTTCCAAATTCCTTTGCCCCAAAGTTAGTTTTTCTTCAATGGTAAGAGGTGCTCGTCAGTGTAAACTCATTCGTTACAAATGACCCATCATGACTTTCCTAACAGTTTCCATTTTGTGGGGGTTTCCATTTACTTTAGTAGGACTTCCTGTTTACTGACATCATTAGTTGGCATCTGTGGCAGTTTTGGTAAAATATGGTGACTTCTGACAGAAATTAAACTGAACAACTGAGAACTATGGTACTTTTCCTAGAGACAGAACCTGTAAGTGGCTAGAGGATTAGGTCCCATTAGACCCATAGGATTGTATTTATAAAGAGTTTTCTTATAGATCTTTGTTACTATGGATGTCAACTTTTGTTATCGTCTCCCGTCTCATGGCAGTTTAAAAATCAAAACTCGAACAGCTGCAAACACCAGTTCACAGAATAGCAGCTTGCTATGAAAAGAGTTCAGCTTATCCGTTTTTCGTCTGGATCAGATCGATTTGAAACTCTCATCCCACCAGGATGAACTGATTTTGCAGTTTAACTAAACTATCTGGCATCGAAGGGGAGAACAAAGGAGAAAACCTGCCTTAAATCCAGATTGTGACTCTTGTGGATATGCATCTGCTGATTTTTTTTTTTACATTCCGAGTGACGAAAAGTGGAATTAAACACTTCAAAAGACCTGAGAAAGTTGAAAAAAAATGTGAAAAAGTCACCATAAATGGAGCGGTGAGAGTAAATAAAAGACTCTTTGCTCGAAGACTCGGCGGACCTGCTTCCATTACAATCAGTTACATCAGCTTGTTTTGTTCATTTCTAGTCGTCCCGTGTGAAACAGAGTTGGCAGAATGGTTTCTTTAGAGCGAGACATGTTAACTCCCTAAGGCAAATGTTTACACAGTCTGTTTTCATTCTGCTGGACCAAAGAGGGCCCTTTACTTAGTTTAGTCTCCATAAGGCCAGCTCGTTAGGAGGGCCACCTCCGTGGAAACAGGTTGTGACATCATCAACCTGGATGTTTGTTCTCAGATGGAGGAAAAGTGTGTTTTTGGTTTTAAGACTCAAGCAGCAAGAAGTCATTCAGGAGGCTTTTGTGCATTTTTCCCACCTGTCTGACGATTAGTCCATCCACTTCAGTAGGTGGAGGCTTCAGTGTGCTTCTAAACTAAACCCGCCTTCGCAGGATTCAGTAAAACTTGTCATCGATGCGGAAGTGCGGCCTGGTGACGTCATCGGGGTTCAGGAAGACTGATATGGATTTTCCGGGGTTTTCTGTGACCAGCTGCTGCAGCCGTTGCGCCAGCTTGTCCTCCGAAGGCGAGATGATGCCGTTGGCCGGGTGATGCCCGGGCGAGCCATGGCCGTTGGTGCTAGCCGTCAGCTCCTTCTTCAGCTGACCCGCCTGCCGTGCCTGGTCCAGAGCTGCACGCAGGTGCTCGCTGGGATCCGAGCGAATATGGGCCAGCTTCCTGGCGACGAGCAGAGCCTGGCTGTCAGTCAGATGCTCCAACATGTTGCACTGGGGCAGAAAGTAGTTGGGGCAGTTTTTACCCAAGATGCAATGAGCCAGGTCATCCAACAGACCGAGAAGGAGGCGGCCAGGAGTCTCTGGGTCTGGGCAGGACAGGTAGGCGGCTGGAAGTCGGTCACAGGCCCAAAACAGAAGGGTGCGCAGGTGGTAGAGGCCAAGGCCTGTGCGGGGGCGGGCCAAGATCCGAGACAGGACGGCCTTGGCTGCCTGGAAGGCCTGGGCCATGGGGAACGAGATGCACTTCTTCAGCTGAACCTGGTCCAGAGGGACAAATGGCGGAACTAGAATAAACAACCAACAATAGGACAGAAGTAGAAGACGAACGGTGACGTCTTCACCTCGCTGCGAGAGAAGGCCAGCCTCCACTCCCTGTCGGGCCGACCACCGAGCGGGGAGCAGCAGGGCAGCAGGTAGAACCCAGAGATGGCTTCTTCTTCTGTGATCTTGCCATCCCAGAAGTGGTTGGCAGTCAGCCAGCCTTGGGCCACAGCAGGCCAGCCCCGGAACGACACCACGGGCAGCAGGTCGTACAGCACCCGGCTGGATCCCGCCTACAGGGGGGAGACAAAAGAGCAACGATGGAGCTGGTCTGGAATTCTGGCTCCTTAAGCACAGATATTTACAGGTTGTGATGGTTCCCCACCTGAAGGATGATGGTGGTCATGGGTCCGTTCCTCTCCAGCCGGTCAGGGGTCGGGATGCCTCGCTGGGGGCTGCGCCTCAGCTCCTCCACAGCCTCGCTGACGACCGCCCAGAACCAGTCCGTCACTAAGGAGGGAGAGAAGTAGCAGCCGTCCAGAGACTGAGGAGAGTCCAGGGAGGGGATGGAGCCTTTACCTGGACAGACAAGGACATTACTTTATACCCCAAGCACGGTGCATTACCACCGCTTAGTGGCCATGTTGGAGCATTACTGCCAGTCGCCAGGGGCGGAAAGAGTTTATTCCAAAGTCCTCTGATTCTAATAAAACAGAATCCTTCCATCTAGAGATGACTGGGAGTTTATTCGTGTCAGGACCGGTTCTGGTGTGAAACTTTCTGCCTGATTAAACCAACTCAACAATTATAGTGGTATAAAATAAAAACTCCAGCAGGAAAATGTTCAACTCCATCCAGAGAAAGCAGATGATGCTTTTCTATGAACTCCTGAAAGTCGAACAGATTCCTATCAATAAAAGTGGTTACCTCCCCTTCCTGAAGCCCCACACTCAGCAGCGTGTGGTAGATTGATTTTGAGGAGTAATCTGCAAACCGCTGTTTCTCATCACACTCTCCGCTGCTTAGTTTGGCTCTGAAACGCTTCAGAGTCCATTTCTCTCATTTCTGAGGAGGATTGTTTGTGAAGGACGACCTAATGCGGGTCCGAGTACCTGTCTTTATCAGTGTTCTTCTCATCATCACTTATCTGATTTCTACTCTACATTTACCTCTTTTACCACTTTCCTACTCACCCATCTCCTCTTCCTCCTCCTCAGCCAGGGGTCCATTCTCCTCCTGGCAGCACACGCTCCAACGAGACAGTACGCTGGAGTCACAGAGGCGAAGACTGAGCCATGAGTGGCACGGGGGTGAGTGCCTCATGTCCAGCGTGACGGGCTGGTTACGGTCGTGGAGCTTTAAGGCCGGCACCAGCAGGGTGAAGTCTAGGTCGAAGTCGGCACCTTTGGCGTACTCCCCCAGGTCCTCAGGGTTGAGGTCCAACACCCCTTCTCTTGCGCCACCTGACAGCAGCAGGTACTCGTTGGCCACCGGGAGGCGCTGGTCCACCTTCTGGACTAAACCTGTCCAAGTCCAAATCAGAAATGAGAGTCAAGTTGGACAAAGAGGGGATGTTTGATCTGGTATTAAAGCTTAAGTGACACCTGCTGGCAAAGTTCTAGATTAGAGCCAAACAAATTAATTCACCCCCAACAGAAAGCTAGAACCACCATCTCTGTTGGGCTGCGACTGTCGAAAAAAAGAAAAAAATAGTTCTGATTCTGGGTATTGAGGCTAAAGAGAACCTAAACTCCCCCTAGTGGCTGGCTGCAGTAACTAGTTGATGCCCCGCCCCTTTTGTGGCAACATCTGGGCTAATTTTCTGACTAAAAACTGAAAATACATCTCCGACCATCTTGGTTGTAGCCGAGTAAGAGGCTAGCTTACCTTGTTTCCATAAAAACCAGTGTTTGACCTCTTTGGGCTCCCGTAGAACTATAGAAAACCCCTGAAATAAGAACACCCTTTCTGACATTCGTTAATTTGATAAAGCAAAACTACATGAATCTGCATAAATCTGACATGTCTGGTAACTTGCTCCAGTAGGATAGCCAAAGTCTGACACCACGGTGTAATCTGCAGAAAGACGTTGAGCAGAAGTGGACCGTTTTATCATTTTCTTGTTAGATTTTAATCCTGAGAGAACCGTAATTCCCCTGAGAGCCAAAATCCTTCCTTACTCTACAGTTGATGTGAAAGAAACTCAAGCCTCCAAATCCCTTTATGACTACTTAAGTTTGTATAGTTTGATGGCTCAGATCCTTGGGGGCTGCAGTTCTGGATTCATCTCTCTTGTTTTTGCTCATTTAGAAGAGAGACTGAGAAGCTACTTCAGGTCAGGGGTAAGGCGCGGACGTTTCCAAGCCTCCATGAGAGGAGGGGTTGTGGGAGCTCTAGCGTCGGCGGTTAACAGCCAGCAGGGGCTGAAACCAGGGCATCGAATCAATCCAGCGCGCGATGGCTGGGGGCGCAAAGCTGCTACCATGATCCCTCTCATCCTGTTACACGGGCACAAAGCCTTGGTGGCAGCGAGCCACGTGGGCTCTTCATGTAGAGACGAGTCATCAGCTGGATGTCACACGGGACAAAACTTGGCTTTAAAGTTTAATATCTGCAGCAGCGTCAGGCCCACCCGCTGTGGCAAATTTAGCAAGAAACAAGAGTTGATGGGTGTTTTAAAAACGATGAGCACGCCCAGAGACCACAAATAAAACGTGTGCTTCTTGTCTCTATGCCACCAAAGCCATCGCCTTAATATCTTCACATTTCTCTGCAGAATCAGCTCCTTTTTCATGAGCTTCATTTATTTCTCGAACAAGAGCAGACTGCTGTCTACCGGCACACTGCTGCAGTTAACACACATACACGCACACACTTAAATGTTTGGCCCTCCATTGACTTCCATTCATTTTGGTGACTCCACTATGCCTATGCCTGACCTAAACTAACCTAAACTAAAAGTTAATTAACACTGTACCTCTAAAACCAGGTGTTAGGGTGCTTAGCATTGTGTGGACCAACAAAATGGCCCCACAGTGTGGAAATGTCCATACGTTACAGGTTTAAGTCAAAGTTTGCCCACTTAAACATACAAAGACAAGTACACACCCATTCAGACACCCACACACACACTAGAGCAGGGCAATTCAATCCCAGGCCTGGAGAGCTGGTATCCACTCCAGCACGTTTCAGTTTAAGCTCTGCTTCAGCACACCTGATTTCAATCAGCAGGTGATCAACGGGCTTCTTCTTCTTCCCGGGTGATTCAACCACTGAATCTAGTGTGTTGGAGCAGAGAAACCACTATAATGTGCTGGAGGAAACTATTACGTTAAAAACTTCCCATCAATAATCTAAATCCCTTTAGTTTGGTTACAGTAATGAAAATCGTCCAAAAGATCTAAAATTCATGCCAACTGCTGGAAAATATCTAATGTTATAAATTTAACAGCAATACGGACTTCCGTAGTTAACTCTGGGCTGTAGCAGCTGAGAGCCGACTCCTTTTACAAGATAAAAGCAAACAGGAAGAGATTTTTAGAAAACGTCAAAGGGACAAGCCACCATCCGTCCTGGATGAGTTAGCTGCTGTTTGGTTTAATCAGTCTCTGATAAATTGGGTCAAACAGACAAGAAACGATCACAAAAATCCTTGAAATACCTCTGGTTTCAGTTTTTAGAGGAGCAGAAATGAAAAATGACCAATTAATATGTCTGTTACAGTTTCCACGCTTCTGCGGGACGTCTGAAGTGTTTCCAAAGGACGCAATTTCATTTTTAATTCTAACCCTTTAATGGATGATGGTGCACACACGCACACACACACACACACACAGCAAATAGAGCAGGAATGGAAATGGTCCCAGCTGGTTTCACAGCCAGAGATTAAACCTAAACCTATAACCGATGTCTCTGAGTGGACGTTTCCATCAGAGAGGACTATAGAGTCATTCCGGGAGCAGAGACCCGAGTCCATGGGAGCGATGACAACTGGTTCTTCCATCAGTCTGAGTACGTGGAGCATTGAGAGAACTTCCTCAGATGTTAATTAAATCATAATTAGATTAAAACTGGCATTCTTGTTAAGCCTCAACATGTCCTCTGTGCTGAACTAAAGCAAAGCTCTCATAAAGTTTGGACCCAAATGTTCAGGCTGCATTACGAGTTGATTCTGCCTCCTTGTGGACGATGCGGCTACTGCAGGAGTTAAGTGCCAATTATATATTTAACCAATTTCACATTTTAACAATAATATCCACCTTTAAAAAGTTGTGGCAATTGAGTTTGTCTGACTCAGAGACATCAATGCGTGACTCAGGGAGCAGAACAGGTACCAGAATCAGCTCAGCTTTAATTATTCACCATTTGATGACAGCATTAGTCAGTTACAGTCCCCCCGCTCACCGTCTCAGCCTTCACTTTTCATTTTTCTTATGCGTAGGAATGCCAGCTCAGTCATTATGTCAGCCACCCATGTTCCCCAGCTGGATCATTAAAGGTAAGAAGCCCCACCTAGCCTCTGTGTGAAAAAGCTCCAGTGGTCTCTAAACCAACCCTGAACAAAAGATCCAGCAAAACTTCTCTGTAGTCGTTTTATCTTTAAATTCATCTGAAAAACACTAAGAATTTCATGCCTCTTAAAAATCAGTGACTCAATTCCTTCATCTGTTATTTTGGACAATAAAACTCTACATCAGCAGCTAAACGTGTCGTTTAAATCGTCCCAACACAGCCTACAGCAGGATACCTGACTTTACTCCAGACCTAGATTCATGTTATCGGTTTCTGATCAGGAGGCGAGGCGCTCTGCCACCTCTGT